GCCCTGCCCTCCCAGTCCCCTCCCGAAGACGGGGGAGGACAGCCCCCCAACGGCTTCCTGGAAGGCGGCTCCTCCTCGCAGGGCCGTGGGGGCCCCCCCTCCGAAGACTGGTGCCCTCGCATCATCCGGCGGGCCAAGAAGCCCGACCAGCAGATCTACCAGCCCGGCAAACGCCTGCAGGCCTCGCCCCGAGAGGCGGGGGCTGCCCCCCTGTTAGAGGAGGAGCTGCCCCCGAAGGAGGAGAGGGGGGCGGAGTCCGAGAAGGAGGCCGGGGGGGCCGGCAGCGGCCCCAGGAAGCCGGGGGACCAGGACGGAGGGCAGCTGAGCCAGGAAGGGGCCAAGCCAGGAAGGGGGGAGAAGGGCCGGCGGGCCGAGCGGCCCCGGAGGGCCCGTGATGAGCTGGGCCAGGGCAAGGGCAGCCCCCCCAAGCGCTACTCCCGGTCGGACAAGCGTCGGAGCCGCTACCGCACCTGCAGCACCAGCTCGGCAGGTAGCAACAATAGCACAGAGGGGCTCCATGGGGAGGCGGAGGTGAGGAGGAAGGCCCCGGACAGGCCCCGCCCACAGAAGCAGCTCTCCGCCTCCTCCACCGACTCCCTGGAAGAGGACAGGGCCGAGGAGGCCCCGGAGGCCAGGAGGGGCCCTGAGCACGGCCGGCTTGGCCGGGGCCTGGACCCCAGAGCAGCCCAGGGGGGCTTCAGGGGCTCCGCGGCCTCCCAGCCCGACTGGCGAAAGGGCGGCAGGCCCTCCGGGGCCACCGGGGAAGGGAAGCCCCAGAGCCGGGGCCGAGGCATCCTGGTGCTGCCGGCCAACACGGACCTGACCCCCAGTGGCATAGGGTCCCCCGAAGCCCCCCATGGAGGAGGGGCCCGGCTCCTCTTTGGCAGCGGCAAAGGCCCTCGTGGCTGGAGCCGGGGGGGCACGTCCCGTCGGCTCTGGGACCCCAACAACCCGGACCAGAAGCCGGCGCTGAAGAGCCACGGGGCCCAGCTGCATTTCCTGGACACGGACGATGAGGGGCCCCCCGTGCCTCGAGGGGAGCCCCGCCAGGCCCAGGCCCCCTACTACCGCTTCCAGAACTCAGACAACCCCTATTACTACGGAGGGGCCCCCTACCCTTACGCGGGGTACCCCCTGCCCTACCCGGTGGGCACCGGCAACGAGGTCTACCCTGCGGCCTATTATCCCGCCGGCTACCCCAAGCCGGCCGAGCCTTGTGGGGGCGGGGGGCCCGGCAGCCTCCCCCCTGAGCGCCTGAGCCCCGAGACGGAGCAGCAGAAGGGCCCCCAGCAGCA